GTAGAAAACTAAAGAAAATAGTATTTCCTTATTCAAAGTACCTTTTTCTTAAAATTTTATGCGCTTTTTGATGATTAGTTTTGCAAAAACTTTATTTATTATATGTGAGATCTATATTTCAGATTTAAATTAGGATAATTAAAATTATAAGCACTAGCATTTCCTTAAGGCTTTCTTCAAATATATGATGGGTGTATAAAATATGAATACGTTTGTCAGGACTCTTGCTTGTATGTCTTTTGATTTGGTTTGGAAACATGATGTGTTCTGAATAGGAACAGGGAACTTACTCAAGCTATGTTCAAATATGTGTGGAATGGACAACACCAGCCGGAAGGGTTGATTTTACCCTTTATTCTCTATAAGATTACAGGTGCTCCCGCACTTCGGGATACAGAGACCAACCACTTGTAGCCTGAGCGTAAAAATATAAAACTACTAACTAAAATTTTAAATAAGGAGCTAACTTTGAATTAATTTACAAATGCCTAACACTAAGACTGGCCTTTTAAAAAATTACGTATGTAGTACGCAAACTGCAGAAACTACAATACGTTTTAAATATCAAGAGGACTAAACCTCTGTCTGTAAAGGCAAGCAGCAGCTGATTGAAAACTCGTACAGAATGCAGTGGCAAGGGCGGCTCACTTCCTCCTTCTCTCTCTAACTCTTGGCGAAAAGCCACAACTTAAATACTTGGGCGTTAGCAAGTACAATTGGCATAAACAAGTTAACGCATTTAGTTCTGGCCGGAAGTAGAAAATAAGAAGTGATAAATATTAAGTTTTAAATATTAAGTTTTAAAATAAAATAAACGTTAGTAAAACTTAAGATCCTTACACGTTTTACAGTTTTTCTATACCTCAAACCATTTCAACACAACCAAAATGATGTTTTTTTTATTCTTCGCATTTCTTTCGAAGTTGCTAAGAGGCCAGCTCGATCTTAATCGTTGCCACAAATTCTACTTATACTTTTATCTTGTTTATGCACAATATTTTCCCACCATAAAGCACGGGACCAGAATTAAATTCCCATTATGAGACCTTCCCCTTTGCCTTATGTATGTGTTTATTGATGAACTTTAGAATACTTTATAATGCTTTTTTCCTTATAACGTTCAAAATGTTACGTACATTAAAAGAACAAACAAAATGGAAAAGGATAAATATAATGCATAACATGTAAAATGTGAAAACATGTTATCGTGTGTGTGTATATGCATATATAAATCAAAATTGCAGAATAACACTTACTAGTAATTTGCAAAATGTATATACATACAATCGTATGTACGTATGTGTGTATGTAAATTAAACCCCTTCATGTTATATGGATATTTTCTTAATACGCATTCATCGTATACATGCATGTTTTCTAAAATTTCTTTTAAATATCACTTTTCGAACTCAACACTTGCTTGATTTTCTCACGTTTCTGTAAAATTATACTCATGATTGCCGTTAATCTACAGCTGAACACAAAAACAGAGATTATTCAAATTCTAAAGCCTGGAGTTTCAGGTTCGTAGAAGTATTTAAAAATCATTTTTATTTGTATGATGATTATATTTAATTACTGATGAAATTTGAAAGATATGTTTTGAATTACAGCTATATTTGAATGTACAATTAATGCTATGCAGGAAGCTGACTGCCTGATAAGTTGCTATAAAAATATTAAAATGCCGATATTTAGCTATTTTAATGAAAATTAAGTTAAAAATTCAAATTTTTGAATTTCCGGTAAGGCAAAGTAACGCGATTTAAGAATATTAGCTGAAGATTTGGGAGAACATGCAAGTGAGAGTCATAAAATAAGTGATTAGGAAAAGACAATTTTAGTGAGCAACGAGTACGATCAGGAATATGCCAAAAATGGTTGAACACTATAATAAATAAAAGAAAAGAAAAAGAAGAAATTGAAAATGAAAGTGCCAAAAAGAAACTGAAGAACGAAAACATCAAAAAAACACCAAACAGCACAAGCGAAAAGAAGAATATGAGAAACAAAACTGAAAGTATGAAATAAAATTTTTACTTCAGAAATTACATATTAAAGCAGAAACTAAGTCTACAAATTTCGTCACCATCCACAATATTATTAGTACATAAATGAAGCCAAAGTTAGAACATCATTGTTTGATGCAAAAGTTCCTGACAAAAATTATATATATTTGAGCGTTTGAACAAAGTGATGTACCTGCAAAAACGTGGGTACTCATTTGCTTAGTTTATTGCCGTATGATGCAGCTCAGTCAACTTCCAGAGAAATGGAAGAAATTGCAAACGATTATAAAAACGTTAAAAAGATCTTACTAAAACGGTACAAGATGACACCAAAGAAATTTCGCCAAAATTTTGTACTCACAGTAACAATGTAGGAAATACATGAAAAGTTTTGCGTGTGAGTTAAGAAGTTTTTTAATGAATGAATGAATGGCGTTGGAGTAGATACCTTTCAGGAATTGAACGATCTTATTATAACGGATCAGATAAAACGTTAAGTATCTCTAGCTCTTTCGCATCGAAGTCGCCCCAAACGCCCGAGCATTCAGACATCGGCTGGACGACCGAAACGCCTGAATAATTTCATACCCAGTGCTTTTCCCCATCACGTTACTGCATTACTCATTGCTTTCAGGTGTTGTTAAATCACATGTCAATCATTCTTTTGAAGCTACTAAAAGTAACTTCCTTGTTTCCTTTGTTCCTTCCTTTCCTTTGTTACTGTCAGGTTTAGCTTTTGATGCCCGAAGTTGCATCCCGTCCCAAGGGGAACTTCACACAGTGTCAAGCGTCGAAGAAAAAGAAGTTCTCGCTTTACTTAAGTAAGGCTATTTTAGCGCTGTATATTCAACTTGTCATGGGGGAAGGGAAAGCATTCCAGGAGAAATTCTTAGATACGGGCGTTTTCGATGTTTGGGGAATTGAGATTTTGCCCTCTCTCGATGCGAAAGAGCTAGAAGTAAAAATCAATTTTCCTTGACGACTGGTCTAAGTTGATTTCTCCAGTTGATTTAGTTAAAAAACTATATGATCATGATACCTTGAAGTCAACTTTCAAGAATAAACAACCAAGTAAAGAAAACCGTTACAACAAGCGGAACTGCTTAAAAGATGATCCCGTTATTACAACCAAGGAAACGAAAAACCTCTAAGGTATTACATATAATGAAACAGGCGAAACAAAATGACCCATCCGAGGAGACCCACATCCTAGAACCAGATCTACGGAGGCTCTCATTTTCAAAAATAAAGAAGGAGATAATGTCAATGGCAGTGAAAACCTGAAAGAGCAGCATCTCAATCGAACTGTACATACTAAACCAGTGCATTATAGAGATTTTATATAGGACTATAGAACTTTTTTTAAATGATACTTTATTTTATGACTTATTATTATTTTTGTTGTTATAATGTATGTTAAGATTCGGCACAATTGATAACAACTAAACAGTCAGGATGGTCGAATGTAAACGAGATCATATTATTTGTTGTTAGACAGAATATCTAGATTTCGACATGTACGATGCAATAAAATCTTCTGTTTTAATATGTTAGGTGTAGTTCTAATATGAGCACGATTTATCTTTCAATAAATGGTTGTTGCTTTTTTTTAATTCCTTATGAATAATTAATTTGCATACTGAGGAAGCTAACATTAATTACAATAAGTTGAAAATTCATAACTTCACTCATAACTTTGGTTTTTTTCTTCATGTTAGGAAGCTATCTCAAGAGAAAAACATCTTGCTTTTAAGTGGACACGTGCAGCCGTTGTTATCGGGATAAGCTAAAAGCAATTTTTCTTAATTGTAAGTTTTGTTGTAGATCTTCAGATAATCACGTGTACTCTAAACTCCGAACTATCAGCACATACTCAACCAGAATACTAGTAAGAACGTAGTTGAAAAAACGAATTCTAATGACTAAAATTGGATTTAGATATTTCATCGAATAAGAATTTAGAATGGAACAAGCTCGGCTCCCGGGTGAAAGAAAAGGTAAGAGATTTCTTTTTACCTTTTAGAATTCTATTGAGAGATACAACAAATTTTTGGCATCCCTGCCGGGACGCCCGAGCTAAGAATAAGAATTTAAATTAGACAATAAAGATTAAGAATACAATTATTGATTACTTTTTTTTGAACTGTTAAGAACATGTCTGAAGAGATTTAAAAATAATTAAAAAAGAAGCGCGCAGCTCTCCGAACATCAGTAACGAAATCGCTTAAAGATTTGGAATCGCAGCTTTCGGAAATTGATCCGAAAATTCATGATTTGGAAGAAAATTTAGAAATATTAAAGAATAATTTCGAATCGCTTAAAAGTGTCGATACAGAATTAGAACCTCTTTTTAAAGTCGAAGAATTTGATGCTGAATTCCAAAAATCTGAAGAATATCGTCAAAAGGTCGTTAAATGCAGTTTCCGTACCTCCAAAAGAATCGACGAATTAAAACGCAAATCTACTGAAACGGTAGTAAATAACCAGTTCAGTACTGACAGTCAAAGCGAACCAAAACATAACGAGTCTGTTCGAATTAAATTACCTAAGTTAACTTTAACGAAATTCTACGGAGATATAAACAACTGGCTAACCTTTTGGAACAGTTTCGAGTCTGCCATTCATAAAAATGATTCATTAGATAAAATAGACAAATTTAATTATTTGAAAGCTCATTTAGGTGGTTCTGCTTTAAATACAGTCGAAGGATTACCGATTACTGCTGCTAATTACGATTCCGCAATTGATCTTCTAAAAGAAAGATTTGCGAAAACAGATGTGCTCATTTACACTCACATAAATAACATTTTGAACACTAAACCGTTGAAAATCTCGAATGATGTTCGCGCCTTTAGAAAATTTTATGATAATATTTCTATCGAATTAAGATGTTTAGAAAATTTGGGTCAGTCTCTCGAGAATTTATCAAGTGTGTTATGTCCAATAATTCTGAAATCACTTCCCCAAGATATTTTGCTTGAGATTAACAGAATGAGTAATGGAAGTGCGTATTGTAATATTAAAAGCCTGTGCTTGATTATAGCTCAATGTTTAGATTCACGCGAAAGGGCGGAAGTCATAAATAAGAATTCAGAGCATTCGACAGCGAATAGTGGGCGCCGTCAGTCTGCGTATGCAGTCCAGAAAATAAACACTCGTCATTTCAGCGATGGAAAGAGCAATAAATTAGAAACGAAAGCTTCTTCTGCTTCTGATTTAGTGTCCACGGGTATTAAAGAAAAATTGATTAAGGCATGCGTTTTTTGCAGAGATTTTTCCCATTCAAGCCATAAATGTCCTATTGCCCAGAAACTAACGAATGACGAAAAGGTTGAAATACTACGCAAAAATGGCACTTGTTTTAGGTGTTTACAAAATAAGGGTCACATCAGCAAATTTTGTGATTCTAACATTTTTTGCTCCCATTGTCACTCTAAGCATTCTACGATTATGTGCAACAGAATTAATTCCGAGAGTAAAAAGGGAACGATCAAAACTGTCCAGGAAGTTGAAAATAAAGTACTTTCGAATCAAAGCAACCGTTCTGAAGTTTATTTACAAACTTTGGTCGTAGGGGTAGCTGGGAAAACCTTAAAGGGTTATTTAAGATTGCTAATAGACACCGGAAGTCAGAACACGTACATAAGTCAATATGCTGCTAAAACGTTGAAATTAGAAAAGATAGGAACTGAAAGAATTAAACATGGGTTATTTGGGGGTGTAGAAGTTTCGGAAGATCATAATCGTTATCAAATAGATTTAACTAGTTTAGATGGAAAGTACAGGTGTAAAATCGAAGCACTAGACCAGAGGAAAATTTGTTCGTCACTACCTAAGATCAAAGACGAAAAGTTAATTAAAGTAATGGAAAAAAGGGGAATCCTTATCAACGACAATCATGCGAATGGAAATCTCTGTCTGTTTCAAGAAAATCCGGAAGAGATTCATATGCTGTTAGGAGCGGACACCGCAGCACAATTGTTCACTGAAAGAATTGAACATTTTGCGGGGGATTACGTAGCCTTTGAGACCAAGTTAGGCTGGACATTAATGGGCAAGATTAAAGAGAATGCGAATACGTCGAGTTCCCTGTCCGTTCTTTCTTTATCCTTACATGTTTCCGATACAAATTTGTCCAATCTTTGGCGTTTAGACACCTTGGGGATTTCAAGCGAGGAAAACAAAACGAAAAGTGTCTTGGAAGAAGAAACTCGAAAACATTTCTTAAAAAGTGTAAAACGGGATAGCTCAGGGAGATATGAAGTAACCTTACCCTTTATTTTAGATAAATCCGTCTTATCCAGTAACCGTACTATGGCAGAAAGACACCTCGTCAAAACCGAAAGTAAACTAATTAACACACGCAGAAGAAAAGATTACGAAGAAATATTTGATGAGTGGGAAGCGAAGGACATTATTGAGGTAGTAACTGAGGAAAAGGAGGAAGGAGTGCACTACTTGTCACACAGACCTGTAATAAAGGAGTCTAGTGAAACTACAAAGATACGGCCTGTTTTCAATGCATCTGCACGTTCTAAGAATTCACCCTCTCTCAATGATTGTTTGAGTAAAGGACCAAATTTAATAGAAATTATTCCACGTATATTGAATCGTTTTCGAAAATATCGCATAGGAGTGTCATCTGATATCGAAAAGGCCTTTTGTCAAATCAAAATAGCAGAAAAGGATAGAGATTTTTTAAGGTTTCTATGGTTCGATAATCAACATAAGTTTAAAATTTACAGACATAACCGAGTTGTTTTTGGACTCACATCAAGTCCGTTTCTGCTAGCCGCTACACTTAGTCACCTTTTGACTACAGTCCCAGAAAAGTTTGTAGAAACTTCTAATATTTTGAAGGATTCATTTTACCTCGATAATTCGTTAATTAGCTTAAATCACGTAGATGAAGCCGAAAATTTCGTTCAAGAAGCAAGATTGATTTTGGCTTCAGGGCATTTCAATTTGAGATGTTGGCGATCAAATTTTCGCATTGACATGATCGATGAGATAGAGAGCAAGACGAAAGTTGTCCCAGTATTAGGATTAGTATGGGATTTAGAAAAAGATAGTTTGAGTTGCAAGATCGAAGAAACATTTAACTTGAGGGAACCTATTACCAAAAGAAAAGTTTTGTCAATTACCCAGAAAATTTTTGATCCCATTGGCTTTACTGCACCGATAACTGTAATTCCTAAACTAATTTTGCAAGAAACCTGGAACCAGAAGATTAAGTGGGATGAAGATCTTCCTCTTCCCCTAAGTGAGCAGTTTGGGACTTGGTTGAACCAATTGCCTCTGCTATCTCAGATTGAAATTCCTCGTTGGTTAAATATTGATTACGAAAACGAAGATACCGTAGTAGTGCTCCACGTTTTTTCGGATGCTAGTAAAAGAGCCTATGCCACATGTGCATTTTTAAGAGCTGAAACCATCGAAGGTGTAAAGGTTCAGTTAGTAAGCGCGAGAAGTCGAATAGCCCCTATTAAGGAACTTACGATTCCACGGCTTGAACTTCTTTCCTGTCTGATAGGTGCCAGGCTTGCCAAAACAATTCTATCAGATTTGAAACTTAAGAATTGTTGTAGAACAGTGTTCTGGAGTGATTCTTCTACAGCTTTGGGGTGGATAAGAAGGGATCAAGCATGGGGTACGTTTGTTCATAATCGAGTACAAGAAATAAGATCGCTTACCAGAATATCTGACTGGAGGCATGTACCTGGAAGTTTAAACCCAGCGGATCTCCCATCGAGAGGATGTACTATTGAGCAATTACAGAAATCGGCATGGTGGGAGGGCCCATCGTGGCTTTACTTACCAGAAGACGAGTGGCCCCATGTAGAAGAAAAGCCTGATGAAGAACTTATAAACAAGAAAAAAGAAAAAAGGAAAACGATTCTGACTCTTCTAGATCATGGAGACAATTTGGACCGGTACTACAAATACTTCTCTTCATATAGAAAAACCGTGAGAATGATCGCTTGGATTTTCAGGTTTTATCACAATTTAAAGAACAAAGAGAAAAAACCTCACTCCTGATGTCTCAGTTGATGAATTGGAGAATGCTGAAAAGGCACTTTGTAGATTGGTACAGAAAGAATCATTTACAGGCATAAACGATCCCGCTATTCGTGCGCTGAGACCAATCGTAGACCAAAATGGAATTTTAAGAGCCAAAACGAACGTCCTACAGCGTCAAGATAATGAAAATTTCCGATATCCTATCATTTTACCTTCAAAACATATTCTTGTTGAGAGACTAATTTACGAGAAACATCTAGAACTCCAGCATGCTGGTGTCAGCACTTTAATGACAAATCTTAGAGAAAACTTTTGGATATTAAAATCCAGGAAAAGTATTCGAAATATTATCAGAAAATGTGTAAGATGTAAAAGATTTGTTTCACAAAGAGTGGAAGTCGAGCCAGGATTTCCACCCGAAGATCGAGTCAGAGAAGGGGCGACTTTTGAAGTCGTCGGTGTAGATCTAGCGGGTCCTCTCTATCTCCGTGAGGAGTCTCACGTATACAAGACTATCCAAGCGTGGATAGTCTTGTATACATGTGCCATTTATAGAGCCATTCACCTCGAACTAGTTACTTCTCTATCTACAGAAACTTTCATCCAATCTTTACGTAGATTCATTGCCAGAAGAGGTAGACCTTATGTGATATATTCCGACAACGGAACTAATTTTGTAGGGACTAACAGTGTTCTTAAGAAAGTTAATTGGAACGCCATATGTTCAGCTGCTTCTATCCAAAGGATACGATGGAAGTTCAACCCTCCGACCGCCGCCTGGTGGGGAGGTTGGTGGGAGAGGCTTGTGCGAATGGTGAAAGAAAATTTAAGAAGAGTGTTAGGTCGAACGTCCTTAAATTATGAAGAATTATATACTATATTATGTGACTGTGAACAAGTGATTAATTCGCGACCTATCACATACGTATCAGAGGATAATCAAGATCCATCACCACTGACCCCTATGATGTTCCTGCAAGAATTGCCGTCATCAGGAGTTCCTGATATGGACTACGTAGATTCCAAAGAACTAAACCGCCGAGCCAAATACCGACAGAGACAGAGAATAAGACATGATCTACGAAACAGATTTCGTAATGAATATCTTGGTCAGTTGAGACAACAGGCAATAAAGAAGGGAAAATTTCAACAGTTGCAAGTAGGCGATGTCGTTCTGTTGGAAGACAGCCAGAGACGACGCATACATTGGCCTTTAGCCAAGATAGTCGAGCTTTTCCCCAGTAAAGACGGAATAGTTAGACTAGCGAGGGTCAAGACAAGAAATGGAATTCTGCTTCGTCCAGTGCCCCGGCTTTTCCCGTTGGAGATCTCTACTTCCGAATCCGTTGGCCCTCCGTTCCCCGACAGAGCACCTCGAGATAGAAACGACCATGCAACTGGTCAGGCTGATCAGGCTGCTAGTATTCCAGAACCTGCCTCAAGTCCTCGAGTGATGACCAGAGCTGAACGAGTTGTTCGGCCTCCTCATCGAATGGACCTGTGTGTATTGAGTTCCTCCGCATCGTCGGATCTCAATGGTGGGAGGCGATGTTACATCTAAACTCCGAACTATCAGCATAATTACATCAAAACTCGAGAATAATCCTACGTAAGAACGTAGTTAGTTAGAACTCAGAACCCGAACTCGAATCTCTAAGTGTCAGTCTTTATGAAAAAGCTTGGAATTATTTAGATATTTCATCGAATAAGAATTTGGAATGGAACAAACTCGGCTCCCGGGTGAAAGAAAAGGTAAGAGATCTTTTTTTACCTTTTAGAATTCTATTGAGAGATACAACATCACGTATCAAGGTTGATCGTAGTTGTGTGGATTTCTGTTTTCAACGTTTTCAGCACTTCAATACATGTGCTAGCTACACTATACGAAAAAAATTAACTGACGCTTAAAATATAGCTTTGCATTTCCTTTAAAATTGAGAAAAACCTGATAAAACTACTTTAATCATGTTTTCATTTTAAATTTCCTAAATGTTACAATTTGAATGAAAAAAGGAAATTTTCAGTACATGGAGAAAAACCATTAGGATTCTATACGAAAGCAAAGTGGTTATAATTGTACTATCGTAACGCAAATTATTAAAATACTTTCATTCGAGTTTTTGAATTAAACTGCGCATTTGGAAGTATAGTTTTTCATAAATTCAATAGAAAAGGCAATTAAATGCTGGAATGTAAACGAATCGCAGAAGCATCATAATATATTATTCTTTAATAATTATTTTTTTCTTCAACAGAAATACAAACAGAAAAATAGTTGAAAGCAAAATTACTTTTAGAAAACCTATTTTCACTCGAATTATCTGTGAACTCATTCATTCTTTTTATTTTGAAATGAAGTTATTGACAAAATGCAACAATGACAATTAATTTTTTACTCTTGTAGAAGAATAATATTGCCGGTTTGTATTTCGAAGACTGCTTGAATAAAATAACTCTGGAATTTTAATAGCTAAGAAACCTAGTGATGCAATATGATTACAGAATTGTTTTTCGTACCTTCGAGAAAACTTGCGTAGGTATCGGAAAAAAAATCTTATATTTATTCTAATTTTTACCAAGCAGTGGGAGATGATATACTCAACACAAGGAGATATTGTAAATATTTGTACTAGGATTTCTGTAGTTTATAAAGCCGTTGTATAGTAAAAATTTACAAACATACTTTATATGCATTTATTTGATAGAGTTAAAAGCTGAAAGAAATCCTAATGTGAATTTTACTGACAGAATTTCCAAGAAAAAGATTTAAATTATTAAAATTAGCTTTCTGAACGTCAAAGAGCTGTTTGCTTATTTACAATTTATTTATAATTTTGAGTCTTTCTGCTCAGGAGAGGCCCCACGCAGGTTATTAAAACTAACATTCTATATCTGATTGCATAGCATATACTACGCGTAACTGATTATGTTACGTATATCTTTATGAATGGCATTCGTAATGTAAATGCTTATTAAAACTATGAATTAGGTATAGTCTGCAAAACAGACATTTTATTAAAAGAAGAAGGAAGATAAAAGCAATTAAGAAATGCATATATCATTTTTAATTCTAAATTTTAAAATGCATTGTTACAGTGCATTTTACTGATAAGCATTGTGGTTTTACTATTAATACATATATTGAAGATCATCTTTAAGACGGATAACACCTATTGAAAATAGCATTTTACTGTGTTTTTCGGATGATTAATACTGTAATAGTATAACGCAGTGTGACGCACGAAATGTACAAGCTACTCTGCAGAAATTTCTAGCAGCAAAAATCTTCATACATTAGTTTTAGTTTTTGTCAAAATAAATGAGTCATACTTAAACAGAATTGCATAAATTTGAATTTTCATGAAATGTTTTACGTGTTTTGCTTTTAAAAGCAATTTTTTTATTATAATCTCATAATAAATGTAAATTGAATAACTCATATTGATTTTGATGAGCTATTCAGAGGGCATTTGAATTATTTATCGTACTAGTTATTCACTATGCTCGATGAATAACTAATTTGAAAGATAAAAGCTAAGCTATATATTTTTTCCTGTTTTAATTAGTAATAAGTTGCTAACAACTTAGCTCTCAACACAACGAGAAAAAAAAACTGTGCTGTTGTTTGTCAGTATCTAAAATAAAATATCTTTAAAAGGAAGATGGCAGTTTCATTTGATTTAATTTTTTTCCATTGTTGCTGATTATTGACAATTTTTTTTTCTAATTATGTCCCATCAGTGGTAATTATGAAAGGTCGATGGCCCTTCATTGATTAATATTTTGTATGGTAATGTAATCTTCATATTCGCTTTTTAAAAGGTGCAACGATTATTAACAAAACATTATTGCTTTTAAAATAAGGTAACAGTGCATTTCACAAAACTTTTCAATGATAGCTACAATAAACTGTAAGATGTTAAAGTTACCAATAATTTTAATTTTGGCCTATTACATCGATGTGAAAGCTTTCTATTGTTCTGTCTCTCAGAGATAAATATTTGTTTCTTTAGATGGGAGCTCCTCTCAAGTAGTCCAATAAAAATTCGTCATCAGTAACATCGTGCCATCGAGAGTTTGGTTCATCATCAAGAGTTCTTCTATTTTACGAAGCTTTGCAAACTAAATCGGTGTTCTCCGAGTTGACCGAGATTGTGCAACATATGTCCAGCAGGCAACTAGCCGAATCGGTAAGATTTCAAGCTTATCTAAAAAAGTTTTGATCTGGCAGCCGACTACTACTTCAAACTTTTAAAAATGAAAATAAAAACTTGTAAAAGAGTTATAATCTTCCAGAATAACGAGTGAGAGAAGGAACTGTACAGTGATCCTTTGTTTGTCACAAATATATTTAGCAACCAAAAACATGACACTTTCACCAAGTATCAAAACAACTTTCTCTAAGTACTAATAATGAATATCTTAGTTGTAAAAAATCCTTAGATTATGGTTATGAAAAGTCTTTAGATACGTATCCCAAAGAAGCATTAAATTTTGGTACTAATTAGTCTTTGAAATGTTTTTATTATTTTTTAATGTTTAATGTTTGAAATATTTTAATGTTAATGTATGTATTTAGCAAAACATCAAGCAAAGAATATTTTGCGAGCCAAAGCTAGAGCAACGCAGTATTAGGTGTTCATAATATTTTTACTAAGTGTATGGTTTTTTTCGTGTTCCTCAATGCATAGAGAAATAAATATACGAAATGATGTCAAAAATGTGTTGAATACTTTTGTCACCTTTTTCTGAACAGTAAAGTACTTATCTATAGAAACTTTAAGATAAAGTAGTATAATACATTACATTTCTACATACAAGTACAAAGCAATTTGTTGCTTATCGAACGTGGTATCACTAAAATGCTAGCTTTGATATCCTTGTCTTGAAGATATAATGGGCTTTGTATTATACCGATGTCACTTGTTACGCCTCAAACATTATAATTTTGATTACATGATATTTAATGAATATTATTTCAAGCAGTCAATGAAATGAGAAATCAGAAAATCGCAAATATTTCTTCAAATGTAGGTACTTCAATTATTAGTTCAAAGGGGTAATTTGCCCTGATGGACTATTAATTTCGTTTCGGCATTTTGCGTTGACAAATTTGAAAGGCTGTATCGCTTTTCAAATCGTTGCCACTATATATTATCGCCTTGTCTTATATTTAAAAAAAGTAAATAATGAAGAGTCTGCATAAATGTATGTCCGTTTCTCGCATTATGATAAAACAACGGTACCTAGAACCATCAAAATTTGAATAACATAATCTTCCATAGAATATGGGCATGTAGAAGCCCTAATTTGAATTTCAAATTTGTTTTATTATCGATTTCATATTTTGTAACACGAAATAGTTAAAAAAAATTTTGATTAAAAAACTTCAAGGATTTCAAAGCGAGCAATGGCAACACTGTACCAAAAAAAAATTTTCTGACTATGTCACCTTTCAGTAGAAATATATGAAAGTTAACTTTTGTTCGAGTTTGTACGAAGAAAGTCCCCCAAAAAAATTTATACCGTATGCTACCAGATGTTTTTTTAAAAATTTCTCTGCCGTACGAACTTAAGTATATGACATAAATTACTTTCACCTGAAGGGGTAAAAAGCCCGATTTACGGGCAGTGTAAAATTCAATTTCATGAACAGAAAATATTCAATTTTTACATTCCGGTAATTTGAAATGTTACTCAATGTAATATGAAATATTATTAGTGCTGAAAATGGTAATAACTATTAGTTGTTTTTAATATTTTACAGAAATCCTTTCCTTACTGGTACCGTATTTATGCGAATCTAATGCGCCACCGAATCTAATGCGCATCCCCATTTTAAAACTTTAAATAATAAAAAAATTGTTTGTCGGCGAATGTAATGCGCATCAATGATATGAGGAATTTATTGAATCTTATTTTATACAACAATGGATTTGTATATAAACTATAAATTAATGGTATGATAATTTTATTTAAATTTAGATACCATATTTTATACAACAATGGATTTATACATAAAGTAGCAGAACATAGAATTAACATATTAGTGGGCTATTGTCATGTGAAACAATCATTGTTAATTAGCACTACCGTATATACGGTTTCTATCGTAAAATATGAACATGAAATAAATCGTAACATTTCTATCTAGCTAACAGTTTCTACAATCAGTGATTAATAGTAAACGTCTTTATTCACTAATGTTTTCATCACTGGAATCCTCACAGCTCTCTTCGTCAGAAGCAGATTCATTTCTTCTTTCCTCATCATCGTCATCGTCATCCTCGGCGTTCCAGAGCACGTCATCGTCACTGCCATTCAATGCATTTGAAATGCAGCATTTCTTGAAAGATTTCACAATCATTGGTGCTTCGATGCTTTTCCAGGCAGCAGAAACCCAGTGTGCAACAATGTGCGGTGCAGTACGCTTAATTTTTCCTATCGGGGCAATTCACGGTTTGGCTCACAAAACCATTTTTCGTACTCCGCCTGAACGTAACTCTTAAAAGGTTTATTTATACTAACGTCAAGTGGTTGTAACACAGACGTCATCCCTCC